ATCTAATGTATTTAAAAAATCAATAATATGTTTTAAATAATCAATAATATGTTTTAAATAATACTAAATTTTATACAGAACGTGGAATGTAAAAAGTAAGAAACCTAGAACCCAAGAAAACACAACCTAAAGTATAAAAAGAACGCGTAACTTCCTCAGATGGTATATTGTTGTACATAAGCTACTTTCGAAATTTAAAATAGTTTATTGCTCGCTTCCAATATAATGAAAATTTGAATGTGTTATCTGATCTTAATATTATGATGAAAGAAAAGTTGATAGCATTCAAAGAGAAAGTTCAAGTTTTACTCAAAACGCTAAGTTTTGAAATTTAAAAGTAATCTGACACAAATATCTAAAAGTGAAAGTTGTAACTGAACAAAATGATTCACTTTTTGCTTTTCTTATTGAGTAGAAGCGAGATTTCGTCAAGTCAATAATTTACTACAGGAAATAAGAAACGAGTTAAATATCTTTCTTTACACGAGGTTATTTAAGAATTAACTTCAGCAATTTTATGCCAAATGTTAAAATGTTGCATCAATACATCAAAACTTTTGTTCATATTTTAGTTGATTGTTACTTTTAACCCTTTGATGCGCGGTGGTCGTGCCCTGAAACCGCCATTTTCGAAATTTTGTTCTTCTTCCTTTTCCGAAATTTTTGAGTGAAAATGAATTGATTACTGATCTTTTATATCTAATTAACACAAAATGACTGTAGAATCATATATGTTTTAGGTGTTAATATTTCAGATCGGATGCCTTTTATAATTCGTTTTCGATGAGACAAAATAACTTCCTTTTATTAATATAAACAACTTAAAATTTCAAACGTTAGTCATCGCAAATCATGATTTCTATCATAAACAATAAAAAATTGCACTAATTAAACTGCATATATATATAAAAAAAAAAACCTCTATATGTATGGCATTTTCTATGTGGTTTCAGCGCGCGACCACGGCGCCACTAGAGCACTGTGTCACGATGCTTACAATCCTCTAGGAGCTCGGTAGTTGCGCCTTGAAACCACTGGCGTTTGCTTCTCAATGGCGTTCGCTTGCTTTTCAAATAGGAATGTTTATTTTTACCCGGATATAGATAAAGGGCTTTGAAACCACAGAGTTATTTTATTACTAAACAATAACTGCACCTGCCCAGTAAAAAGGTCTTTCTTTTCAAAATACTTTTCTCTGACATCAACACATTTGCTCCCCAAGCTAGTATTGTGATTTTATAAATTATTTCATGTGGTTTAAATTTAATGTGAATATACTTTGCTATAATTAAAAATAGAAATTGCGCTATAATTAAAAATAAAAGTTTTATTTAAATTAAAAATATTTTCTGAATATTTTGGGACGAAATACGAATAAAATAAGTATGAATGGGAAACGAACGATCCGTACAAAGCCAAAAAGACCAAGCCCCCCCCCATTAACATAAAAAACCACAAATTTCATGTGCCAGATGAAAAGAAACTAAATAACGCTGGACATATACCAGTGAAATTTAAATCTAGGCAGTGTACATTTTGTAGCACTAGGAAGGAAGCTCATAGCTCATAGAACAAGATGTATGAGCGAAACGTGCAATGTGGGTCTATGCACGTGCATTGTGGATCTATACCAAAGAGATAAAACATGCTTTGAACAGTGTCACAAAAAAAAAAATGTTCTTTGATATAAAAAAAGAAAAACCTCTGAGTTCTTTTTTATCTTTATTTTATTTATTGAGTTTTTCGTATCCATTTATCTAAATGTCCTTATTATGTAGGTACTTGTATTTTCACTGCTATAGAAAAATTACATAAATGTTTATTTTTTAATTTTTTCTGACGATTTACTTTGTAAAATAATGTAAAAAAATTATATATAATGCAATTCTTACATACATTTTTCTTTAAATCCATAAATTTCGTCATTTATTGGAAACGCGCGCGGAAAAGGGCAAGTTTTTTTCCCCTACTGCATCAGTAAGTTTCAAAGTCCTAGACGCGCGGTGGTTTCACATTGCGACCACCACCCACAGAACAATTGGCAAGAGTAGATTTTTTTTAATTCATATATTATTTGTCTCTAGGATCATAATATTCAATTTCTAGAGTTTTTAGTTAAAAAATTATAAAAATAACATCGCGCGCGTCAAAGGGTTAAGTGAGTTACAGGCAATTATTTGTATTATGATTATGTTGTTTGTTGTATATTATAGGAAAAAAATGTAAAATGGTCGAAGCAAAATAAAAGACTTATTTTTTAAGAGGTCTTTCCAAGAAAAAGGTTGAGAAACCTAGAATAAGCAAATCCGTAGTTCAAAACTTCTGAAAAAAAAAAAAAAAAAAAAGAAAAAAAAAAAAAAAAAAAAAAAAACAAAAAAAAAAAAAAAAAAAAAAAAAAAAAAAAAAAAAAAAAAAAATAGGGGAACATTTGATTTCTCGCTCCAAAAATTCTAGTATATCTTTGTGAAGTACCGTTTATAACGCATTTAGGAAAAGAGTTTTTATGGCAGAATAACTTAAAATCTTTCAAAATGGGTTTTCTGTTTTGAGTTAATGCCATTCATTGTATATATTGCAATTTATTAAATTTGGTACTCATCAATGGTGTAGTTATAGATAGGCAATATTAGGCAACGCCTCAGAGCTCATTACTTAATACTTTTTCAATCTTCGAAAAGTAACAAAAGTTAATAAATATGCTGTCGAATGTGTATTTGATACTTTTTGAATAAATTATGTTATTAATTATATAAGAGTTTTATATCTTTTTCCGAATAATACTAAAGTTAGAAGTTTTTACTGAATGAATGTTTTAACTGATATCCTTTCTAAAAGCAATAGAAAAGAGATACGAGAAGAAACGCTGTAGATAAAAAAGAGAACAGCAAATTTTGGATTTATTGTTATGTACATTTATGCTTAAATAATAAAGTGCTGAATGCAATTAATAATGTTAAAAAATATATGACGGAAAATAAGTACATGTTTAAATGTAGTAACGCAGTATTTAAATAATATCTGAATAAATACAAAGAAACGAATTGGAGCTTATTTTAGCAGAATCGAAACAAATGGCTGAAACATAGGATTTTCTTACCAAATAGGCTGAATAAGATAAAATGCAATTTTGAAAAGAGATAAAATAAGATAAAATGCAATTTTGAAAAGAGATAAAATAAGATAAAATGCAATTTTGATGGGGCTTTGGAAAATTTCGATTCCGAGAAGAATATTTTTAAACAAAAGTATTTTTGACATTATTGTAGAGCAAATAAAATATCGATTTATCGGAGAAATAAATGTGATAGATCAATTTAATTTTTTGGAAACTCATTATGTTATTATTTCATGAATCAAAACTCAATTATTTGACTAAAATGAGTTTTCAATTCATAATTATCTATGCTAGTATGACATTTATTGTATAAGTATAGATATATATATATATATAATATTTATATATATATATATATATATATATATATATATATATATAAAATTATACATAAATTATATATAAATTATATATATATATATATATATATATATATACATATGTATATTTGTTATAAATGTACCATGATATATATATGTATATATATATATCATGGTACATTTATAACAAATGCATCAGCTTTCGCAAATTATAATATTTACAAAGAATGGCATTAATTTAAGATAAAAAAGTTGTTTCGTTGCTTCCAGATACTCTTCAGTCGATCAGCTTGTTCCAAGCTGCAAAATCTTGGTTTTTAAGCAATACCTATCGCCATCTGTTGGGAAAGAAATGAAAATAGAAATCGAGAAATAAGGGCTTTTGGAAAAGGATCGCAAAAAGGGATTTGCTTTACTTCCGTTTTGATATAAATACCTCTGCCGGTTTGGCTTAATTCTGTTATAATATTTTTTGCTCATTTTAATACTTCAATGTTGACATGCGAAGTCCCTGTTATAGTGTTATATGATGATACATATAAAAACACTTTCATGTGTTTAATGCCTGATATATATATATATATATATATATATATATATATATACTATATATATATATATATATATTATATATATATATATATATATATATATAACCAAAGTCGTTAAGTATTACCATTTGCATCATTTTAAAATATTTAAACTTTAATTTCTATGTAGATATATTTCACCACTAATGAACGACAACAATGCATTGCATTATACTTGAAATGAAGCTAATAAGTAACACATTTTATATTGAAATTATCATCTGCTTCTAAAGAATGTTATGATTTATGATAATCTTACACAATGTTTACATATTTTTCAGTGTGTATTTAATTATGGCAAAGCACACTAGGGCTATCTGCCTAAGGGAAGAGATGCCTTCGTGGAGGACTTTCTAAGGGAAACTGGCTCGTATACACGTTACACATGGGTAAAATCACTAAAACTCCCATGCAGCCAGCCCGTTCGCTGGATTCGAACCTCGAACCGAATTACCAGTGCTCAGCGACTTTACCGCTTGGCCGCTGGTTGGCACTATTTTTCAGAAATAGCTCTGTTTAAAATGTGAATTATACTGAAATTTCATAAGATAATGCCAGTCTACGATTTAATATGAGCATTACCTTAAAATATATTTTCTTAAAGGCTTTGCTTCCGTGATTTCTACGAGATGAGAAGCGAAAATTATTAACTAATCTTACAAATAATAAAAGTCTGTAAACAATGAAAGCTTTGAAAAAGCTTAAAACACTTTTAGTTTCACTTGCATGTTTCAGTCTCACAAGTTTAAACAATCTTCATCTGAAAGGTCTACACAATTAATAGCAAATTATAAAGTAGTTGAATTTTTCTCATATTGTTAGAACAGAAATTATTTAAATTAAGTTTTTGTGCTTTATTTTTCACTTTTAGACAAGAAATAAAAACTCAAAAGCCAGTAAAAAAAATAACTCAGAGTAATGTCTGCTTTAGTGTCTTTTTTTGACTATTGAACTTACATGTCGCTTTCTTTCCAGGGGGTGAAAATTCCAAGGGCGAAAACCATGAAATCTATTCTGTGTAGTTTGATCCTTCTTTGTGCAATTAGCTTCATTATTGGAGATGATGCAAGCAGGGGCAAATCTGGTTTACATTTTTCGAATACTTTGTGGACTGAATCTACTAGAGAAGTACTTCTCTTTCGTATGAAACGTCAGGTACCTGCTCCTGAAGGTGTCAGCCAACCCATATGCAATATGTTTGGCTGCAACTGTACACCGCCCCCAAATGCAGTCTGTTGCGATGGATATAAATACGACAGACGTTCACGACGTTGCCGGAAGGTTTCTCAATAATATAACGACTACCAGTCACTTTTATATCAGAACTTATTGCTTTCTTTATTATTTAGGTTAGTTTTAAACTCAAAATTTAAGTCTAGATTAGTATTCATCCATTTTTTAAAGCACTGTGAACCTTCTCGTGATAATCACCTTCCTATGAGTTTCCTATGAGTCACGTCTGAAAGTAATTAGTATTTCTGTCAATATAAATCAATATCACAAATAAATGTCTTTGCTCTGAACGTTTATGCAAATATTAAACAAATGTCACTTTGTGATCCGATATCATGCTATCGGGAACGTTCAGTCTGAAGTCTCGAAATAAATTCCCAGAATAGCTGTTTTAATGGCTAACTGTACATATTTTTCATTGTTATAAAAAGTGTCGATTGCTGAAGCCAGATAAGTAAATGCCTAAAACTGCATAAAATGCACAACTGACACGCTGCATAAATTAAATATAATCTAAGTGTTCACAGTGAAAAAGAGTAATCTGTTTTCTAAAGACATCAGATTGTAGAGTCATTAGTTTTTTCTTTCAAAGCAGGAGACGTAAGATGTTCTTTGCCCTCTTCTAGATTCGAACTCTGGACCTCCCGGTTACCAACCGAATGTACTTCTACTTACGCCAAGAAGGTACAAGATAAAGAATAGACAAAATATCTTACAACAATGATCTGAAATTCACATTTCCAAAACAGTTTTAAGCAGCCCGTGAATACATTTTAATTATGCATTTGATGCAAATAAGTTGCTTATAATATCAGAGACGGAATATGGACTGAGCTTATGTGCACAATTGCTATTGAAGGAAAGAGGATAGAATGAGTAAGTCGGGCCTTTGTCACTGCATGCTTATACGTCAGGCCACGTGATTAGGTTTATGTGAGAGAATTTCTTAAGTTGATATAATCAGTAAAGTTAGTTTGACAGCCGACAGATTGTGGGACTTCGGTATTCTGAAATTTTCTGTTTCCGGTTAAATTTAAAAGTAAGTTTAGATTTAATTCAACATACTCGAATTATCTGAAATTAATGTCAATCGAAAAATTAATATTTATCTGCCAAGGGGTTTGAATTACAAAGTATAATCATAGAAATTTCTTGCAGGTACTAACCTTTAGACTTCAGGTAGAAAAATAAATATAAATTTCATTTTTTCCTCGTGTTATATTAATATTGCTTGTGTATGTTTTGATAACTATTGAGAAAGCGAAATTTAAATTTTTTTGGGTACTGTTCTGTTATCGGGAGTGGATTCAGAAATGTATAGATGTACGCCCGCGTGTATGTTTGTATGTGCATATTATGTGTATATGTGTTTCCACGCATACATTCGACTTACATATATACATGCAAACATGAACACATAAATCCATATATACTGTACAGTCATTAGGAATTTTGAAGTAAGAAACACAAAAAATGGGTAATGCCCTCGCTGGGACTCAAACCTGGACCTCTCGAAACGGGCTGAGTGTGCTACCGGTTACACCACGAAGCCATGCATAAAAGAGGGAGAAAATACCTCATCTATTTTTATTTTGTTTGTTTTGCAAAAAAATAATTTACATTTCGTTGAAAAGGTGTTCTTGCCAGGCAGCTGCTTTCAGATCAAGCATTCGTTCTGAATGCTGTTTGAGTCTGAGACCACTGTTATACAATATAATCCTAGAGTGAAATATGCTCAGTAACGCTTAACGGAGCATCAGAATGCCAGAATCGAATTCATAGTACAAATGCAGGCATTGTGTACTATTACATGCTCTTAAAAAGATTAATTTCTATAGACCATATGCAAATTACTCACAGATGATCATCAAATGAAACGCCTTTCCAACTGTATTCTGGAAATTGTGGGCGCGAGTCAGTCAGATTAATGAAGCCTCAATAAGTATTTTTTCAGTGAGTCGAAATGTCAATTTCATCAGAGTAATTGATAGTCACACGCGAGAAAACGTTTTTCCAAGGAGTCGAAGTTTTAATTCCATCAAGGACATTGACAGCCACATGAGTGTATAGTGCCAACAAAAGAATGCGATGATCCCATGCAAATAAGTAGGAAACATCCTCGAAGATGGCAGTGATTATACGGTCGGGGATTATTGTGCTAGCACGGATTTCGATCCTAGTAACTTTAGATAGTGATGTGACTGTTATAGGTATCTTTTATATGCTCTTGAGACGTTTCCTGCATTCCTTTTTGGACAAAAGTAGTATATTCCTGGGTAATACTGCCTTTGCCAGAAGTCATCAGAGACCCTCTAAAATGGTTTCAGGGATATTTCGACAAAATGAGAAGTAGAATGACCAACGGCTTTCAAAGCTTAATTAATCAAGCAAAAATGAAATGCTATCAAGCATTGTGAAATTCTAAAGCACTATATTTTTAATCAAGCATTTTGAAATACACTATGAAATACCGTTTGTGATATATGTTAGTAGACTTCATATTAATAGGGTACTTACAGATTGTCATGCATGTTGCAGTACTAAGAAATATTATTACTGAATTAAAACTAGAGAGAAATTCTAGACTAATTAGAAAAATGAACAAACCTTCCAAATACTTAATAGGTAGTCACAATGGAGCGAAAATTTGATATAAACTTATCTATATAAAAAGACTCCATACAAATATTTCTCAAACTTTACTTCTATTCAGATCAATGCAGTCACAAATTTTAATTGTTTAAAAGAAAATCTTTTGGTTAGTTTGCATTAAGTTTATTTTTTAAATTACCTTTATGGTAGACAGTTTTTTTAATGATTTATAGTTATAAATGACAGCTTCGTGCTGCAATTAATTTAGTATATAATAATAACATAAAAAGTAATTAATAAAACGTTTTTTAAATATCAAAATCGATTATGTAGCTTATGTAATTAAAACATTTCTTTTCTTCATCAGACGTCATAAGAAAAAAACTTCTTGAGTATAGTATTTATGAAAATTAGAAGGATATTTAAATATTTTTTTTTGCAAACTTGAGTCTTTATGAGCTATATAATATAAATTAGATATCTAATATTTTTAACTCTTTACTAGTGCATGGACAGAAACACAGTTATTTTGTATTCAAAGCAAGTAAATATGAAATAAATACTGTCGAAATCTAATATTTTGGATTCTACTTTGCTAAGAAATGTTCTTATTCGGTTGCCTTACTGAAATTTGTTTTTCTGTGTTTATACCAATTTTAAAAAGGAACATATTTTGTTTAAATACACTTGTTTTCCTAATGTTCGAAAACTGAAGTTGTATGCAATAATTATTTTAATTCTTTTAATCCTGTAATATGATAGCATATGTGTATATGGTCTCCAGAATCACTCCCACTTCCAGAACTTTATCAAGCGGACACAGCATATGGCGTAACCTTCTTAGTTTCGCTTAGCATTCAACTCTCTGAGAATAAATATACTCAGATAACTCAAATAATTGTTTTTTTTAATATGCGACTAAATACTTATAACTTAATTATTAATTATTTTATCAGAAAACATCTCAATATTCTGTTTGAAGTAGGGCTGATACTTTCCGTGCCAGATACATTATTTTGTCGATTTTGAGTCGCACAAAGTTTCCCCATATAACATTTAAATTTAAGAACATCATGAAGTCTATGTGTTTTTAATCGGCCCGTGCTTTGAACATAGCACACTTTTATCTGTATTAATGTGTATTTTTCTTTCAAAAAGCGTTTTACGTTGTTGTCTATAGATAAAATGTTACATCGTGTGTTCTATTCTTTCAAAACATTTCGTGAGCTTTTTCATTTAATTAAAAATATAAAGTTGGCTCATAAATATTAGGTTTTAAATGCAAAGTAATTTTTTTTTTCTAACATGGAGCTACCAATGCTCGGAAAAATCAGATTTTTACATTCATTCAGAAGGATGTGTTTAATAGAATGTCTATTGATAAATATGAATTACCAATGTTAGTAAATCGAATTCTTTTATTCACAGTCATATTATATTCTTTTAGTCATAATATTTATTTTAATGTTTTATTTTATGTTATTTTATTAGAGTTATTTTTCTGTTATTGCTACTGAATTTAAGCCATGCATTTTATTTTAGCTATGTTTTAGAGTTGAAGAAATATGTAATCTTCGAGGACTTTATGCTCTAACAAACCTTTGCTGTCATTTGTTTATTCTGCCATGTCTTCTTTCACCTTCATTGTTTCTGTTTCTTGATCAGCATATTTGCTAATTAGAAAAAATCATTCTTCCATGAATTTTATACCAAATAAATTATTAAATTTATGATACAGATTAATGCATACCTCGAAATGAATTAACCTTTTCCTCTGAATTTTAAACAACCCAAGAACAGAATATGGACAAATATTAAAATTAAACTTGTTAATTTTCAAGTTACTAAAGTTTTAATAATTAAAATATTGTGAAACCCGTAATGCTATATCTCTAACTTTTCATTAGAATTTAATTCATATTCAAATGCGTGAATGAAAAAATTAATGGCTCTTTTTGTCCGAGATAAATTATTCAAAGCATGCAATTAGCATGTAATAAAAGCTCTGGTTCATCAAAATAAGTTTCAAAAGAGACACTAATGTTCTTATCAACTGTTGATGTTAATAATTGAAATGAGGTTTCGCTTTAAATTTTAATTAATTTCTCTGCATTGCGATGTAGACGTAAGAAAGAAAGACTTGCGACATATTTCCCCATATTACTTACTCCTCCCCAATTGATCCCAATGGTTGGTAACGAGAAAATGGTAGTGACTACTGAATTCAGTTCTGAAGAACTAAATTAGTTTCTTATTTGCGGTTTCCTTTAAGTGTAACACAAAAATGAAAATCTTCCTTCCTTAGGAATTTCTTCACATTATTAAATAATTTTGGTAAAGCAATCAAAATTGTACTTTGGATACTTTACCGTAGTTAATTTTACCTAATAGTATTACTGATAGGTTTTGATGTCTGCCAGTTTTTGCCCTTATAGGTTTGAATTTCACATGGACTCATGTTAAAAGCATAATTCAGATACTGTTTTGGCATTCAGTGCATTTTTTTTAAAGTTTCACTACGAAAAGTACAGTACGATAAAAGGAAATTTCAAGTTTTTTTTAAGAAATAATGATTATAATACTTGTTTGTTTTTTAACATGATGATATCTTCATTTTTTTCTTTTTTTTTTCCTAGGTAAAAGCTCCCAGCTACAAGCATCATGAAATTTATTTTTTGCATTTTCTTCTTGCTTTGTGCAAGTGGCATCATTGTTAGTTCTTCTATCAGTAATGAAAGTAGTGGAAAGCATAGCTTAGTTTTACAGTCCTTGGAATCTGATACTGCAGTCTTCGTTCCTCGGATTAAGCGCCAACTTCGGCCGCAAGGAGTCAGCAAACCATTGTGCAATATGTTTGGTTGCAACTGCACTCCGCCGCCAAAAGCCAAATGCTGTAGAGGATACAGGTACGACAGGCGATCCAAACGTTGCAGAAAGGTCTCTAAATAACATGGTTTTTTGATATAATATTGCCACGAAGAGACAAGTTTCACATCATTTATGTAGTTAATGGAAGTTAAATAAAAAAAATATTCTCTTTGACATTTATAAGAAAATATAATTTTGTATAAAAAATGAATTACCAGATGTAGTCTCTAACACATAAAAGTTAGTATCAAATTTTGAATATTTCTGCAATGCAATTATAAACAATAAAATTTGAATTTTGAATTTTGTGCCTATTCATTTTTCACACTGACTGAGTTAAAAAGATTGCTTTCTGCAAGGACTGCGCAAAGTTCTCTGTAGAAAACTTCTAAAAAGTTATGTTTTATAAGCCAACTAAAGACTTTAAGCTGTTCATAAGTTTACGTAAAAATTTAATTGTAAGCTTTTCATAATTTAAAAACATCACCATTTGGAATAAATTATAAATCGTATATTTTTACTATTATTCGTGCAATATGTGAAGTAAAAAATTAAAAAATGATAGCATGAAAACATATTATGATCACGTATTTTTTTAAACTTTAATGTTGCAAATAAAGTTGAAAAACTGTGAAACACGAACCAAATTGCCCGACTGACTGGAACTCAAGTAAGATTTCTTTTTTAATTGAAAAATAGAATTTTCCTACAAGAGAAATTAAACTGTAATTTGTTTTCTTATTTCGATGTATTATTCCAATTTTTCTTGTGTATTACAAGCAGGTAGACAATCTAAATTTTTCTTTTAAGTACTTTCTACATGTTGGTCCTAAATTTCATATATTTTATTTGAATATGTTTTGAGAATTTTGTACAATAGACTTTGCGATAAAAACTATTTATATCTCTCCCTTAAATAAAAGAGTTTGAGAAAAAAATAAAGAAAACGAGTTTGAATAATCCAAGGATCTCTTTAATTTAACGAATTAAAAATTTTCTGATGAAAATTAGAAAGTAGTATACTTAAATTTTTCGTACCATATATGCAATTAACAAATCTAAAACAGGTTCAGCTGCAATAAAAAATATTCTGTCATTGCCATATTTAGAGTATATTTACATTACAAATAAAGTTATTTGGGTAAGTTAGGAAAGAAAAACTAAATCTTCAAAAAGCAATGAACATCTTTTTTTCCACTTCAAAAGCCGCAATTTGTGACTGATAATATATACTTTCATAGCTATATGGATTAAAAATTCTATTTCATCCATATATCCAAATATACAAAATCACAGAACTATAGGTTAAAAGTTTTATTCTAAAACTGTTCTTGGAACGGTAATACAAGCTTCTAAAATTGCGAATATTCTAATCGAATCGCTTCTAAAGTCTTCTAATGCTAAATCTAAAATCGTGTTTCAAACAATAAAATAGCATAATCAGAATCAGAAAATCCCTACTAATAATTTGCAATACACTAATTTTCACCCCTTAAAAAATTTTCACTCCTTTCACCCTTAGCTTATCACCCCTTAAAAAAGTAAATAAAACTCTCTGAAGCCTGTTAATTCGCTTGAGAATTATATGAATATCGCCCCTTCGACGGATGAACGCGACCCTTTTAATGGTTGAAAACAAATTACTGTTTACTAGAGTGAATTTCCGTTCGAGGAAGGCTGGTGCAATTTTCATTTAAGGTTGGTTCGAATGTCACCCGTTAAATACGGCCTTTTCGAATTTAATTTATAGGGTAAGAAGGCAATTTGGTTAATCTTTGGATTATGGTAACTTGGCGATTTTGGGGGGAAAATTTGGCGACCAACTCTGCTACAGCAACCTGCTTGTTTTTGTTTGGCCGTCATTTTGTTTTCACGAAGTAAAGGCATTTTTTTTTTTTTTTTTTTTTTTTAAACTAAACATTTTTTTCCAACAATCTGCTAGCCGAATTATGCTTATGCTAGAACTTTTATGGAACAAAAGTGTTTAAGCATGACGAAGATTAGGTGCGAAATTGGGAGAAAGTGCAGAATCGCAAACTGCTTGCCGCATTTTTAAGAATTGCACATACACGGTATCCATGTACAAGTCGACCTATTTTCACTTAAAAAAAAACATTCAGAATTACACAAAAATGGCATTGCGCACACTCTTGACTTTATCCATGTACACTGCTAAAGTCCTAGCTAGTAACCTTTATCGCCTTAAAAAAATGTCGTCAAACTACCTGTTACCATATTCCAAAGATTAGCCGGAAATGTTTTCTAAGTAGCTTAAAACTTCACAATAGAAGCTATTGGTTGGTTAAATTTTTCTAGTTAGCTATCATTTGAAGATATGAGATCAAAAGGGAGATTTGTGGCCTAGTTGACAAACACTGCAGATATAGCTAAAGTGTATTTAGCTCTACCTGCTGATTACAGACAGGACGTAATTTTTAATGATTTAACAGAACTGAAAAACTATGCATTGTCAGTTACAAATACTTTAATATAAAGCTGTTAACACAAATGTCGACTTGTGTTATACAAGTGGTATAGAAGTGAGAAATATTATTCCAAACTGAATACGAGATCTCAGTTTACCGAGCTTATATTAACCCATTACACCAAAAGAACACATCAAAGAAATACCTCAATTTCTTAAAGACCTAGAACTCGACTTTGTCTCTCCTATTAACCACTAAAAGTTCACATACTTATTCTTTACTAAATCTAGGTTTCTGTCAGCTCAGACTCACGTAAAGACGAAACAAATAGACTCAGCTTCAGGGCATTTTAATATTCTAGATAAAGACGAACTATTAAAAGCATACAACACTACAGATAAAAAGAAAATTGTAGATAAAGATATTTAGTGTTGCAGGAAAATACACTATGTTGTAGGTAAAGATCATAAACATTTCAGGCGAAGAAGATTTACTTAGTTTCAGCTCATTCTAATATTGTAGCAAATACGGTATATTATAACACTGCAGGTAAAGAGGAAACGTTGCAGCTAAAAATATAAAACTCTGCTAGTAAAGACAAAAAATTCCAGATAAATATATTCATTACTACAAATAAAGATATTAAACACTAAAATGAAAAGGTTCATTAAGAGTTGAAGACATACAACACTTCCTTCAGGTGAAAGAAAAACAACCAGACACAGTTTCAATGCAAGTTTCAAGTGACACATCAAATTAGTCATTCAATATAAGTTACAGTCCTTATGCATATCTTATTATATTTATTTTTAACCTCTACTTAGAGTTAGATAATTCACATATTTTCCTTAGGTTAGCTCATATATGCATCAAGATTAAAAAAATCAGTATGAAAATTAAAAGAAACTAGTTAAGAACTTATAATAAGCTTTACGAGCTAATGTTCGAGTTCTTTGCTGGAGCAGGTTAACTACCATTCTTACCAAAAACATTAAGTTAAGCCTTAACTTCATGTTTCTACAATAAAATAAATAAAACGTGTAATACAAAATATTAATTAACAATCTACAATAAAATGAATAAAGCACGTAATACAAAATATTAATGTAAGATTACCCTCAATAAGAACTCGGATCTCGAAGCTATCTGGGAGTTGTCTCGATTGCTCCGCGCTGTGCTAAGCTGCGATGACTTCACGCCTTGCTGCGTAGAAGTAGAAGTAGAGGGAAGGGAGTAAAAGAATATGTACCCACAATTAATTACCAACCTTAATATATAAACTGATATGCAAATTTAATTATATTCTTCAATAAAATTTTTCATCTTAAAAAAGTATAATTATTTGGTTGTGACTTAAATCTATTTCATTTCATTGAAACCTAAAAGATGAATATTTACTGCCATTTTTCAGTTAACCTTATTAATATTTATTAAAAAATAGATTCAAATATTGAATGAATTATCTAATCACTTATTTCTCATTTTGCTAGTGACGAAGATTATTTCAAGTTTCTGACATGCACCTAGTTTTCTAGTATTGGAATGAACGCCAATTAATCATACATTATAGCAATTTAAAATTTAGAGTAACAAAATATAGTGTTTATATAAGCTCATCTCATTTCCTCTATACTCAGTCTTTCAAAGGTTTTAAATTTTGAGTCTATAAATAATACTTACAAATATGGGCATTATAGCGTATTAAAAGAAGCGCTATTTTATATTCATTTACATTTTTCGAGCCAAAATTCTACCATTCAAAATAATCTAATTGTTAGTTGGAGAAAGCATGTTCTAGAAGAGAAATCAGTTCGGACGGATAGCTGCGTTGAAGTGCAATTACAAATGCTGCAAATTGTGAAAGGGAATTAAAAATGAAAGTTTAAACATAGTTTCACTCAAATCAATATTTCCTTTAAAACGTTTCATAAGCAACGCGGCGCTGTATTTAAATCCCGAATTTACAGAAGAATTTTGTAATTCTGAATGTTCATAATTTAAAAAGAAGAAATACCTACAATCTATTGTTCCAAAATATTTATCGAATGCCTTTTGAATTCATACATCTAATGCACAAAATAAGGATTATGCATAACACTCACACTGTTTATTCACACCATTTCTATACTATTTTTACACTGACTTCAGAAAAACTTATAAAATTCCATACGTACTATATAATTAATAAGTACACAAGCTGGACACCAGTTATCCTTGAAATATATAATCTTAATTTTTTTCTTCTTCGCGGAAATATACTGATATTTTGATAAATACCTGTAAGCTAGAGAACATCAAAATTAAATTTAAAATGTTATGGTAAATATTAAGTATATAACAATTAGCTGATGCGCTTCTGAATTATGTGATCTCATAATAGAAAATTAAAAGCTATTTTGTGTTATATACGTGTTTCATACACAAGATGCCAAACAGCAAAAGCGATATGTAGATAATTTTATTTATTAAAATGTACACATCCAAGCAAAAAAAAAAAAAAAAAAAAAAAACCAAAGGAATTATATTACACAGAGAATAAAGTTGTTTAGAGAGTTTCATTTGCAGAAATATGCAAAACTTTACTAAATTCAGAAGATTTTAATAGCAATTAATTTGTTTAGCTTTATTTAATAGCAATTAACTTCTTTGTTTTTAGTTCCTATTCAGTATTTTAAGGTATTAAAAATTTAGTTTTATTTCATTTTAATATTGGTGATTAAGAGTCTAATACTTATGATTTAAATAAACACATGCTGTCAATCTTTCTTCTTTCTAGCTTCGAAAATACTGAATTCCGGAAATTATACTAGAATCTTCGGAAAAGTTTAAAATTTTGGAATTCAGTATTTTAACCGCTTAGAGGAACAAAAGGATTGAAACTATAAATTAAATAGAAAATAATTTTTATAAGGGAATCAAGAGAGTATGTTATTACATTTAAATACTGTGCTGGAATTTTGTTATTTATTTTATTTGCTATATTTTATTTAATTTTAATTAATTTTTTAATTTTATTTATTTTATTTATATTTTTTTTATTTTATTATTTAGGCAAGATAGTTATTGCAAGAAGTTTCTCTAATGTAGGATAAGGGTTATAATTTTACTTGGTGTGAAAGGTTATAATGAATGTAACTTAGTTATATGCTATTTATGCTAGAAATAAATTACATCAGTTTTTTAAGTTATTTTATCATCATCTCAAATCGGAGGCTCCGATTCTGCGATACACATCCCATTTTGCAATACATAACCTGGGATACCACAAACAATATTTCTGCAGCGTCTGGCAAACGGATCAAATATTTCTCCTTTACGACAGTTCAGAAGAGCCAGTTTCTTACCAACATTATTGCCATCTGTAAAATTAATATCCAGAAGCAGGGAAAAGCTCATTTTATTATTGTCGTCAGATTCTGAATTGCCGTTATTTCGTGGCCCAATTGCTTCACCACAGCTAAGACTGGACTGATCAACTCGATTGCACATGGCACAGTAGAAGTTCTTGTATTTTGTTCCGTTACTAAATACAGGATCTGTATATCCTCCACACATGTCACGTATTACATCACTCTTCCATTTTGCTGAACATGTACTTGTAGCATCCGATTCACAGCGCCTTACTTTTGATTCATGCTGTTCCGGAATTTCCGATGTCACAGCGCAACCGTGAAAGGAAGTCTTTTTGGTCGTTTCATCCCTCAGAACGTATCCCCACTCTTTTGTTGGGTGGTTGTAAAAAATATATTTGAAAGCTTCGTCCTTGTCCACTGGTAGATTTGGGTTAAGCAAGGGACAAGACATCTTGATGTTCCACATAATCACCTTTTCAGCATCGCCATTACAAATGGCGCAGTAATAGTTGTTGTAAGTGATGCCTGTGACCTCACTCGTGACTGGTGCACTTCCCACAGGGTCTACTTCATAATCGGAGTCAATTTTACAAGAATTAATTATAAATTCGGGTCCATTCCACTCCTTTAGACAAGTGTTTACGACCAATGCTTTCCTTTTACATATCAACCCCCTCACACTTTTGGTACCATTCTTCTTCATTTCAAAGTATTTGGAATCGGCACAACAGTCATTGTAGGCCAGTGAACAAGCCCTATCGCAATGACAGGATAGTGATGTCACCACACCTTGGCTGTAGCATTTGTTCCCGCAAAAAGGATCTTCAGAACTGATAACGCGGAGGAGAATTAGCAGATTAACGGCATATGCTAAAATTGCAGACATGTTTTTGTATATCTCAGGTCAGATGATTTCCTTTTATCAACTTCGTCATTCTATTTATGGATATAGCTTCATAGAATTATAGCTTCATGCAACAAACAGCAGAACCTGCAACAAAATTCAAAAATGAATAATTATATAGAAAATAAATTTTAAAATTTCTTTGATTTTGAAAGGTAAATTCTTTTCTTCAAAGTGCGTTAAAACAGAATCATTGATATCTCTGAATTACTCTTTATTCTGAACAAATATTTATTTTTCAAGTAGGAATATATTGTTATCAATAAATCGAATTCGATAACCAAAAATATTTGCTAGATGTATTTTATCGTTTTATTCCACTTATTTTAATTTTGAAAAATCACAATAACTTTCTTTTGTTGTCTGTGATGAAATTAGGGAGTGTGTTTTAAACTGAAGAAATATAGTATTATAAACGTAAAATTTTTGCAGATGAAGGTTAGATGACATGAAAATTGTGTGTCTTGTAATCGTCTGTTTTGCTTTTGTATATGCATATTTAATACGTATAATATTTCAAACTAGCAGATTAATCTAAAAGCAATACCTATTGTTTTATACTAATAAACTTTGAGTTTAAAGTTTTATACGATTGGAGAAACGTTCTCAATCATACGTCCTTATTGGAAAAATACACGTTGTAGCTTTAATTTTATAATTACAATTTGCAGTTGCATATCATCAGAGACAACATAATGATCAGATGATCATTACCTTAGAACACATGTATGAGATGGATTGTTCGGAAGACAAAAAGGAAGATGCGTGAAATTAATAGAAAATTATCAGAAAAGTGAAAAACGTATGATGTTTTAGGTTATGTTGGTTTGTGATGTTTCAAGTGTTTCTTAAGGAGGTTCATGTATAGTCATTGCCAATTAAGATTATATAATACTCCCCGCACAGCAATCTGTCAGGACTTCCCACCGTTTTCTTGGTTTCATGACAGAACAGTCGAATTAGAGTTATCGGGCTCCAAAACATGGAGTCCTCGGCCCGAAATTTGGAGGCCTAGCAATAATCAGATTTGCATGTGGTATTCGTTTCGTTTATGAGCTGTCTGAAATTAGTGACATACAGATACAAAACATAAATGCTGACAAAAAGGGCTTTCAAGCGTACAGAAATAAATGGCATATAAGAAAGTGAGCATAAGCGTTTCATGCAGGTTTCTTCAGAACATTTAAGGGAAATATATATATTTAGTTTTGTTTACTTCAAAGCAAGTCCTTTATTTTATTTCATCGAACAGTACTTAGAATAAAAAGCAAAATAAAGAAAAGCTGTTTTAAGCTGAATTTCAGAATGATGCCAAAAAATAAAATTATAATATTGTGCTATATTTCAATCAGCAAAACTATTTTTTTCTGCATTCTCGTGTTTTATTTTTCAAATTTTTATTTTCAAACCAAAAGTTTTGCTCTGCGTTAACCCTGTAATAAAGGAAAAATGCGAAAATTACAAGACTTGCTTTTGCCTAAATTTAAACAAGAAACGAATAAAAAGTATTTAAAATATAAATATAGACATTTGGTTTCCAAACGAAGTAAACGTCCCGCAATTCTAGAACTGAGTTAGCATCAGAATAAAAGTATTCCATCATAAAAAATATCAAAACGTTTACTTGAATAGTCGTTAAGTTTATATATATTAATCTCATACAGTATATAAAAATAAAAGGTTTAGCTACCGATTTGTAATATTTAATTTTTGTTTATATTACCTTATATGGCGTTTCATCGCGCTGGATATTTCGAAAATTAAAAGCGACGTAACAAAAGCACTTTATAAGGCAATTGGAAATAATATTACAAAATATCTTTTCGCAATTCTTATCTTTATTATAGAAATTTAACAAACAGTCTAATTTTTCACGTAATATTTTGATATGAGAAAATTTTAATGTATTGATAACATGCAATTGCCAAACTTTGTACGTATCTACACACTAATATAAAATTTTAAACAATCAACAAACTAATTTAATAACATAATGACTTTTAACATCCAGTCTTAGAAGGAAATATGTAAAAATGTTTATAACAAAAAATCATATTTTCTATTATAAATTTATTAATGTTTCATAATGTTCGTATATATTTGGAAAAATTCATATAATCTTTCAAAGAAGTAATATATCATTATAATCAGTATGAATGAACAACAATAAATCTGCAAACTGATCTATGTTTTGTTGTGAGAAAAACAAAACATTTATTGGCATTTCACAATATTTGAATAGTTCTAATTGTAAACAAAATTATTTTTTATCTCTGCCTTCGAATGAGAAGGACTCTATGCGTACGTAAACGTTATATATAAAATAAGTAAATTTAAACTCAAATTTCAAATACCTTTCTAAACGACGAGTAAAGCACATTTTATTCTTTCAATTAAGGCAATTTCATTCTTATTGGTTTTACTGATTTCTCACACAGATTGAATAAAATTATGAATTAATATAATGTAAGACTAACACAAAATATGCAGTTATACTTCAAGTTTCATACGAAATGCGAAATATTTGTATATATCATAGAAGCATATACCATATTTACTCAAAAACAAACCTCCCTCCAACCTTTCTTTTACTTTGTTTCTAAAGTTTTGTATTTTCTTATAATCAGATATTTTGACGTCTGAAGTTACAAAATGACATAGAAGGGATTTAAATCATTATACAGAATAATTACACTTTAACTAATCAATGAATGGAAAGGTAATTACTGTATATATAAACTGAATAAATGCCGCTAATTATAATAACCATGTCTAGATGAACAATTTCATTTTAGGCCTGCATCCATTATATGTCATTACTACGCCTGAAAACAAATAGCTAACAATGTATAACTTAATAGTTTCTTTCGGCCGGAGTTCGCGGTTGTATTATGTTAAGGAAATTCTAAAGAAAGTGAGAAAACTAAGATTTTCATTCTTTAAATTTCTACACGAAAAAGTATATTCACTTATAGTTTTATTTCTTGAAATTTATTCTAAAAGTTTAATCAAGGTCTTACATTCGAAGGAGCCTTATTTCTGAATAATTATGAATAATTATTTCTGAATTATTATTATATCTTAATTAAAACGTTTTCTTAAAAATTAAAGGCTTTTAAACGTAAATTGGTACAATAAAGAACCTTTTGAAGTTTTCTAAGAATTGTAAGCTCAAATAATTCAAAGTAAAATTTACGTACGGTAATGTACATCTTAATTGATCTGTAAAGCACCTTAACTTTTTTTTAAAATTTCATTTTAGATGATCTCTGTTTAATATGAAGGGATAATTTTTTTATTTGATTAATGACTCAAACTGCATTCAGCCAATATTTTTTTTTTTTTGGCCAAATTCTGGGAAAAAAAAAAAAAAAAAAAAAAAAAAAAAAAAAAAAAGAAAGAAAAAAAAAAAAAAAGAAACCAATTAAGCAAAACCTTGAAACTCAGTCAAGCAGAAACGAGTTTGTTTTCAAAAATCAGTAATGTTAATGCAATAATGTATTTGCCTATGGGTGAAAAAATTAAATTACTCGAATTTACTCTTTCTTCATTGATTTTAAAGTATGAAATGTAATTCGTTTGGCTTTTAAGTTTTTAAAATGAACAAGTGCACTGATTTGCGTGAAATAACTATTTTTCTCTAGATTTATCAGTTTTCAAATATTTATACAGAAACAACGTTTTATAATAAGATCGTTATTATAACTAATATGCCGTGTAAAGAACAAGCATTCGCGAATTAAAAATCCTGTTATAGAAATGTTTTAGCCATTTTTTTGACCGTTAACTTCTTTTGGACTTCTTTTTCCGGGCAACTTCAGTACCTTCAGTACAACATCTTCAAACCAGAGAGATTAGTCAAATCCAAATTAAAAGGTGAAATTTAAAATTAGATCTAGATACAAACAATTCTAATTGCCGAATCAGGTACCTGAACTTTACCCTAATTTATGGATTACACTACAGATATTTCTGATAGTTATTCCTTTATCATATTCAGTAGAAAGTGGGTTCAATGCACTAGAAACTCTGTTAACTAAAACGAGAAATCGGCTACAGAGATTCATGGAGATTTGAGAATGCTTCAAAAAATGAAGCGGAATTTTAACATACTGGTGGAACATTTATCGCACTCCTACTTTTCATTTGAGTTATTTCGTTTCTAGCTTAGTTCGTATTTTCGTCCTTTATACAATTTAGTCATGTATTAGAGTGAATTTACAGTTAATTTCATTAATATATAAATATCTCAACATTATCTTTACTTTTTTTTTTTTCAAAATAAAGAGGTGGGTTCTCAAAGAGGGTATTGAGCATTCAGTTTTTTCCTAAAATTGGTCGGTAAACTAAAACCGTTTGAAGAACATTTGCTTTCTAAGTTTTTCCCATATAATTAACTATTTCAAGGGTTTTCTTTGGAGAAACGTTAATCTCTTCTTTTCTTCTTCATGAAATTAATCTGCTAATTTAAGTTTATAATCTTAGAATATAAACGTATTTAAGGAAAGGTATAAAAGTACATGTAAATCAAAGCTAGCTTATATGAACTGAAAACTTATCAATAAACGAGCAAAAATTATAAAAGTAAACTTTCAATGAATATGAGTATTTTTGTTTATTCAAAGTAAAAGTCAGGAAGCCAAACATTTTATTTACTTATTTGTAATATTATTTTAGAAACGATTTTCCACACAAAGGGCTGATTCCGTTTCACAGTCTGGACAGAAATAACGCATTTTCGGCTTTTTTTAATTCAAAGATATAAATACAAAATATCTCTGTCGCTTACCAAAGATTATTTCTTACTTCCCCGGAAGGTAGGATAATCTGTAAGTAACTAAGCGCTTCAAATCTATATTTTTTTTAACTTTAATTACATTATGTATAGAGTTTTAGATTATATAATATGCTTAAATCAGTTTTGCATGTGAAACTGCAATCCTGGTACTTGTGTGTCAGTTGACGTGTTAATTCTACTTTTCTAAAAGATGGAAACAAAGCCTTTAACTAAAACAATTAGAGTATTTAACACATTATAAGAAATTGCAACATCAAAACGGTACAATGCAGAAAATGACGAAATATTAATCTTTCTTGATAGAACTTGACACCCTCTGTGATTTAATATGTATACTTATAACACAATATTAAATATGTAGTATATGTAATGTTTGTAATTTTTAGTATTTTGTGCATATGAGTCCATGAATTAAACTTGTAAGAGCGTAAAATACATCCTTCTAATTGTATGCATGCTGGTGAGTTAGTTCAATATTTTACTGTAAAGGAGAAAGGTTTTCCTAGTTTTTCTCTTTCGTGGTTTACCTTCAATGTTCAAACATAAGTTTAAGCAGTTATCTTCAGATCGATCCTTTACCGAAAGAATCAAAACAAGTAACTCTAACGTGATTTATCTTAAATCATTGACTACCTGATCAACACTGCAAAATAATTTCATTATTTATAAATGCAATTTATTTACATGTAACATTAATGAAAATCCTTGAGCATCAGGATACCTACAATTAATTTCAAATTCGCAAAGGTTTCGTAAAAGTAAGTTAAAAATAATTTTAACTAAATTTCTTACCTCAACTTTTCCATGAGCAGTTCTAACGCTTTCGTGACATTAAGAACGAAAGGATTATTAATCATCCGCATAATTCCCACACCGGCATTTCATAGCCGTATGAAAGAGACGCTGATCAGTCTCACCTTCTCGACACGAGCCAGTGAAGAACTTAAAAGAGTAACCTTCTAGATCAGCAGGTACGATAATAAAATAATTCCTCCGATTTTTCTTTAAATGTCTCAGTTTCCTGACGTCAAAAAAAGCGTTGCAACCGGCAGTGTCCGGGAAAACGAACACCATATTTCACGTAATTCTAATCGGTCACGGGTAAAGGCCATGCTTGGTATTTATTTTTCCTCTTCAGAAAGATTTTAAGAATCTTTTCAAAATTTACGACCATGTTTTTCACGTACAAAATTGCTTAATACAGTCTGAATGGCCTTCAGCTTCGAACGGAAATTTTATCATTCATATGCCCATAATCTTACTTAATGATACTCAATGATTAAATATAAATTGCTGACCTGATTACAGATGCAAATAAACGGTACACCGCAGCATACATATGCGATACCTGTGAAAATAAACAGAAGAATTTCAAATAGATACTTTTAAATTCCTGTTCTATTGTATCACACTTCCTATTTTTATGCATTTGTGCATCCAAGCATGCAGTATGCTTTCTCGTTGGAGAATGTACATCTTCGGTGAATTATTCCTTTTGATATGTCTTTTAATGATATGAAATATCTGTTCAGTATAAGAATGAAGAACCAGTGATGGTCTTTTGTAAGCATCAGTGCTCCAGAACTAGCCATTGAGAAGCAATGATGGTCGGTCTTCACAGTTTGACACAGTAGATCACGCGAATCTGACCCTTTAGTCAACCATTGATAGAATGAATCCAACTCCTCTCCGCCTAGGACACTTAACGTGTAACTCAAAAAATTCAAACAATAACCTTACAGAGAAACTATAAAATATTATTTCAAATCCATAACAGAATTAACTGTAACATAGCAGGATTAAGTAAGTTGTTAATGAACTCATAATACTCAAAGATCAAATCTAATTGGCAGAAAATTAATACTTGCTACAAAAGAAGTTGAAAATGAGTAAATTTAATAGCACGATGAGAAATTAAAACAGTCAGCGCTTTAGAAGAGAAAGAATAATGCATTCCAATCGATAATTTTATAATGATTGTCCAATTTTAAACGTAGTACCACTTAAGCTGTAGTTGGTATGACTTATAATATTAGTTGTCTTGTAAAGACCTTATCTTGATCTAACCAATTATTTTTATTTTAAGAAACTTTATTTCTGATTCCATTTACCCACCAGAATGCAAATATAAATAACGTATATGCAAATCTAAGTGAGTTCGGAAATAGTATTTAAGTCGTGAATTTTAACAGTTAGTTCTGAATTTATGCCTCGTGTTTGAAAGTTGGCTGTGTAGTTGAATAGTTGGTGCGAGCCACTTACTTTAAATTATATTGATACTCTAGGCTCGGCTTTGCTGTGTGCAACCGATTAATCGGTTTAGATCGAGTAGGAGCCCAGTCGTGTAGCTAAAATTAATTCATTATGATTGTATCTATTATTTTGTGTTCAGGTTACGTACTTAGTCGCAAGTGGTGGTTAAACTGTGAGCACCAAGTGAGTGCATTTTCTGTTCCGTTTAGTTAAAATAAAAAAGGTTGTTATAAGCTTCGTCTGCAATCATCTGTTCTTCCAAGACGTAGCGATATTTCGCTACTTCGTCTTTCAGTAGGGTCTACAGTTTATGCTCCTAAAACGCACAAAAATACTCTGCAGTCTAAGTCATATTAAGGTGGTGTTCATAAACTTTATTAATTTTATTCGAGAGAATAGATTGTATGGAATTTTATTTCAATAAATATCAGCAACGAAAATACAAAATACAATCATACATAATTTTTATTGTTTTTTCATAGATCTTACGATTTATATCCGCTTTTTATTAGGGAGTACGACTTACGCAATCTTACGCTAACTCAAATATCTAGTAAATTCAAATAAAATAAAACATCATGACACTTACCGCACGAAATGATAAAAATGAAGCGATGATTGTCCCACGAAATGCTAAATCAATTACTATATTACTGAGTTATACCTCGAAATAACAGATGATTTCAGCATGAAAAGCGCATTCTGCCCGCATCATATGTTTTGCGATTTTTGAACAATTTCTAATCTTTTGATGCACCCTGCAGATTACATAAGTTTTCAAACCTCAGTGATATTTCTACAATTACAAATTTTTAAATATTTGCTAACTTTTATGCTGAAGATTTTAATTATCTACTAATTTTTCGAGAAAGCGTTCTAATCACCATTTGTATTATATGACTTATAATACCAAATAAATTCTTCAGTAATTTGTATGGACATAAGGCTCTGGTTGAATAGTAATCTGACAAATGATTGTTATGATTGTTATGATTGTTATGAAAGGTTAAGTTTTTAAAAACTTTGCGTGCGATAATTTGAAATAACTATTTACAGATTTTTTAAGTTTTGTATGCTATTAAGAATCAATTCTTTTAAAACATTGCAACTCGTTAGAAACAGGAAATTCGTGAAAGTCAAGGTCATTTTTAATATGATAGTAATTTTTTTTTCTTCGAGGAAACTTGATCGTTCATTTTAGAATTTATGATCCGTATCGCCCAGAACGTTTTCCTACAGATGACTGATACCGTGCGCTAAAGAAATGAAACACTGTGTTTGACAGTTAAAGGAAGTAAGAACTGAATCCGTAATAATGATTAATTTCCATTTAATTTGAAATAAATAAATAAGAATTTCTGTGTTAGATTCATTATAAGGTTGAGAAGACAGAAAATATCCAACTCAATTTCTAAAATCATGACATACTTCTGGAACAGGCAACGAATCCAAAAATGTATGTATGGAGGAAGCATTTGGAGATTTAGCTAAACAGAAAACATTTGTTTTCGCTGAAATTTTCTTATAATTTCTTTCTACTGTTGAAAGTTTCATCATTAGTGAAATGAAATACTTTTCGCTTTTTATGATCATTATGCAGAGCAGAAATATCGTGAATAATACCTACAAGATATTTTTTGTTACACTTTGTAATTCAAATATTCTGACAGCTAAATGTTAAATTTTCAAATTAACATTTATTTCAAATATTTCTAAGGTAGTTAATTAATAATTAAATAACTTATTCTAATTTAAATTAAAAATAAACAGATTATCAATATTTTCGATCACGTTGTCAGAAAAACATTTCTAAGGTGGGACAAAACTTGAGAAACGTCTTTATTTCTTACTCCAGCTTGACGCTTGATGACGTTAACATTTTGATAAAGTTTCTCGCCTTGGAAGGAAATTATTGAAAATTATCTTCATCATGGATTGTAGATGCTCATCCCTTTTTCAATAAGCTTTCAACTGTGAAACAAAGCTCTTCATACATAAACGTTCTTCCAAACAACACTATTATACTTAGAGCAAAAATTCGTAACTGAGTTTGTTTATTTTTTGACAAGTACGAATACAAAATTATTGAAATTGCTATCCTCAAATCTTTGAATAAGATTTACATCACATTATCGCATTGTCACATAATTCCGTTTATAGATTTTCTGGCGCATTATTTATGTTCGTTTTTATGGAAATGAAAAAAATATAAACTCGAACTTGAAATAACTAAAATCTTGAAATCTTTGAAACAAATATTTTATTGAAATGTATTCGCGGCGCGCATAAAATAGTCTCAGGTGCAGTATGCAGCCAATAATTTGAGGCAGTAATTTGAGACCACTGCAATGTTAATGTTAATGGTAATGCTATGGTATGTAATGGTAATGTAATGCAATAGTAATGTAATAATGTGAAATGATAAATAATTTTCGGTACACTAGAGTTCCATTTTACATTGTGATTCTTTCCTCATTGGAGTTATCTTTAAAAATGCTATCACTTCTAAGTTGATGCTTATTCTAAAGTATATGATATTACGAAATCTGTAACTAGATCTTCCCCAAAACTGGTGCTTTAATATTAACTTCCCTATGATTACATACAATTGTAAAGTGACTGCATGTGAAAGATACATCATATAGTATCTATGATGAATAGCAATTAATATATTCCCTGAATGCACTTAAAGTATGTTTAAATAAATGCACAGAGATACACAGATTAAACACGAATTCTAGAGTATTTTCCAGCTTCGGGCGTTTGTTATCAATGACCTTATTTCTCGAAACTTCAGCGTCTGCTTATTTAGAAACACTTCACGAGAGAGGTGTTGACAATTTCTCCTCCATCGGTCGAAGGTTCACGGTTCGTTTCGCTGAATTTACGCTAAATTGGAAAACATTTTCCGATTTCCCAACGCGAGAATTTATTTTTAAAGACGTTTATCACTTTCGTTTTTGTGGTGAACCTGACTATATCTCGCAATTTCTGTTGAAAAGTCGTCCTATAATACACTCTGTTTCCTACTTCCAGGATACATATATGCCTCTTTTATCGAAAATACACAGTCATTTAAAAATATAGTAGATCTATGAACGTTTATTTCACGGTTTTATGTGACAAAGATTGCACAGCGATCATATATCACAGAGAAGATATATCTATGGTTAATGCCAAGACTGGAAAAAGAATTAAAAAGCATCATCTTTACTAAGTAATTTAATTTTTTGTTTTAATGTTGATGAATGGCTTTCATTTTTAACTACACATTAGCTGATAGGACAGTAAAATCTATTTCTGCATTCAAAATTAAATATTTTTATAAAATGAAATTACGAAAGAATATCCCATATGAAAATTTATCGATTATTTGAATTAGTATCTAACTGGTTACATGATAAATTATCTATAATGATTAATATTCAAAATACAAAAATTCCTTTAATACTTTTATTTAATTTCGAGTTCTCTATAGTCCCGTTTTCATTCTGATTTTAGATAACAAAAATACTAATGATGTGCGAAAACATACTAATGCTATCAAACAATTCTTTCTCTTTCATTTAAATTGTTTATATGAAGCACCGCATGCTAACGCCTAAGTGTTGTAATATTTGAATTCCAATACTTTTCGTACCCTATTTTCAAATCTTTGCAAAACTGCATGGAAATTTTTATCATGTGCTCCATATTGAAATA